ATTCATAAATTATAAATACATTAGAACTGATACATTTTAAAGTTTGCTAAACCCTTTCTTTATTTTTGTGTTTTGTTTTCGGCAACAGCCGTTCTATTCGACTGAATTAAATTCGACGTATGAAACCACGTCGTGCTAGTGTCGTGCTGCAGTCGAACTACAGTCGAGCCAGCTTAGCACGGCAGGAGCACGACGTTTGAAACAGGCCTTACGCTTTTCGCATTGTACACGCATCAGCTCTCGCCCGACAGATGTTGATAAATTTCCTCTTTTTTTCCCTTACAAGTCTGTTTCTTAGCTGGTTGTTGTCAAGTGAACTAAACAAACAACGGGTTTCAAGCAAAAAGGAAGTACATTCTGAAGATGATCTAGGTGTACTAGTGGTACTTCCGGGATAGATATCACTTTCCAAACGCATCTATGATAATAAATTACCACAAATCCTATCCAAATTCAATACATCATGAGGCCATTTAAAACTGACGCATGCATGTTGGCCTTTCTTGCGGTGCAGTCAATACTCTATTGCTCTATATAAACGTACGTAGCTTTTTACTGTAATGAGTACTTTGAAGAGTTTAGTGTACCGCTGAGTACAGGAATATTACTTTATATTGTGAGTAATGTTTGAAGATTCAGCTCAGACTTACCGAATTTCTCAGGTGTACGTTTCCGTCAATAACGTAGACAAACAAGGGCACACTGCCTTTCTCCAGGTATTCATTCAAAACTGTGTCCAACACGTCCGACTCACCCTTGCCAGGCGAGTCAATCAGCTCGATTCCACTTCGGAGGAGTTCGTGCTTCAGTCCCACCTCCACGGTCGCGTCCAATGCATTTTCATTCTCTCGGTCCTGATCAGTGACTACTATAAGTTCCTCAGGAATTCTTCCCCTTGTTGGCGCCTTTCTGCCGACTTCTACGCCATCCGATCCGAAAAGAATGGCATATGGCTCATCGGAGTATTTGATCCTAACGATTCTTGCCGTGCATGGATTTTCGTGCACGGGTAAAGAACTCTGTTGAAGGAGCTCATTAATGATGGAGCTCTTTCCACAGTTTCTTTCGCCAATGAAAAATACGGAAGGGCTTTTGCTTAGCTCTCTTTCTACTTCGTCCAGTTGAGAAAAGGGAATCAATGTGTTTGAGTCTTCTGCTTCAGTCGAACCGATGTCCATATTTTCCAAGATCTCTTGAAAACAAGTCGAGGTCCGCTTAAATAGCGATTTCGTACGAACATTGTAGCACTTAAATTCATTGATGGCGTCTTCAAGAGATTTCTGCAGGCGATGATCAGCCATCGCAGACTACCATTCAAGTTCAAAGAAGCTGTGCTTTCGTCCNCTTGCCAGGCGAGTCAATCAGCTCGATTCCACTTCGGAGGAGTTCGTGCTTCAGTCCCACCTCCACGGTCGCGTCCAATGCATTTTCATTCTCTCGGTCCTGATCAGTGACTACTATAAGTTCCTCAGGAATTCTTCCCCTTGTTGGCGCCTTTCTGCCGACTTCTACGCCATCCGATCCGAAAAGAATGGCATATGGCTCATCGGAGTATTTGATCCTAACGATTCTTGCCGTGCATGGATTTTCGTGCACGGGTAAAGAACTCTGTTGAAGGAGCTCATTAATGATGGAGCTCTTTCCACAGTTTCTTTCGCCAATGAAAAATACGGAAGGGCTTTTGCTTAGCTCTCTTTCTACTTCGTCCAGTTGAGAAAAGGGAATCAATGTGTTTGAGTCTTCTGCTTCAGTCGAACCGATGTCCATATTTTCCAAGATCTCTTGAAAACAAGTCGAGGTCCGCTTAAATAGCGATTTCGTACGAACATTGTAGCACTTAAATTCATTGATGGCGTCTTCAAGAGATTTCTGCAGGCGATGATCAGCCATCGCAGACTACCATTCAAGTTCAAAGAAGCTGTGCTTTCGTCCCCTGCGATCAACAGTTTTCTCGTGATTTCTGGGAAATTTCCCTTTCGATTAAATGCCGCACCAGGGGCTGGACTTCAATTAAAAGAAAGAATGGAGCAAGTATAATTACTCCAAGCAACCTTATCTGCCTTCTTATCACCCGAATTTCATTTTTGTCGGGAAGTACAATATAATTTAACTTATATTTAATGAGTAGCCAATTGTCTGAATGTATATTGCGTATTACTATTGTCATAAAGTGATTTACTTCTGGGCACGTCACGCAATCTAGTCGTGACAAGTTCAAGGAAAGTACAAGTTTGTTGCTGTCTGGATCCAAATACAGAACAAACAAATTGTCTTCAATAACTGATACCGAATGCTACAGTTTCCTTCTATAGAAAGCATGAGATGCTTGGTCGCATGCAGTGTTTTCATCGGGTCACGTTGTCAGACAGCTTACTTTTTGGCCGGGTGAAATTTGGCGGTTGCCAGTAAGGGAAAACTGTCAGGGTTATCTTTAATCTCAACACGACAGACAAAGTAACCAGATACATCATTTTACCCGTAAAAAGAAATTTTAATAATCAGTGACTGGTTTTCTAAGCTGGTTAATTTTTGCGTTACAAATGCGCAACTGCTTCAGACAAAATGACATGAAACAAATGAAACAAATCGCATTTGAGACCTAAAAGAGAAAATCATATAATTAACATAAAATAAAAGCTTTTAAAGCTTGTAAAATATGTCGATCTGTTATTAGGCAACTTGCAGAAGTCAGGAGCCCATAACCCGGAGAGTGCAATTCTCATACTTAGCCTATGCAACGGCTTTTTCACAGATCAAGTTATTTCTCGCATCATTTTTTAGCACTTTTTCACGCGAAAATGGAAACACCGTTTCATATGCGTTCGCATCCATAGTGAATTAATCACCAAAAGAAGAAGTACATGCAGTCAGAAATACTTTACGTTTCTATGCCTGCACGATTTGTAAGAATAACAATCAAAACTCGCGCGAAAACGGCGTTCTAAAACTAATAAACTGGGCTTTGAAAACGCCATTGAATGGACACAAGGGAGTTGCTTGCTCCGGCTTATCAGTTATAGCACTTGCTTAAGGCCCGATAAAAGTTTGAATCGTTGTAGTGGTCTAGAATTGTGCAAGGGTTTAAGAAGACGCAGCGTTTACAAATTCTGGACTGGAACTGAGTAAGAGCAGCTTAGTCCCTAGGCGTTCTCTCCTGCCCCGTTATCCGCGCGAAGTCTGAGAAAGAGCGAGCGTGCATCTCTCGGTGACGTCACAGCTCACGGTAGAATCCAAGATTGACCGAGCCGAGAACGCCTAGGGAATAGGCTGGAATAAGAGTAATCGTGCAGAAAAATGCCGCACGCGACCACCCAATATCCATGTCATTTTAACTCCTTGGTCATACTACATGAGAAAGTAAAGTCTCTTGTAAGATTTGTCGGGGATTCTTCAGATTTAAAAGACTACTCGTAGACTATAAGATTTATGCTACAACATAAATTTTAGCTGGCATCATTGACATGTCCCTCCCTAGAAATTTACGTGAATGAATCACATTGCAGAATGACTATTTGTAATCTATAGGTGCATATAAATTCGTTAATGGCCATAGGGTTACGTTACAACAAGAACCACACAAGGAAACCCCCGGACATGAACAAGCCCCTGGTTATTGTGATCCTCGATGTCCCTGACACTTCAGACGCCTTTGGTCCCTCTCCCTTGTTACACAAGTCGTCTTCGCAGCAAGAGTCGCACACAGCTTTTCCTTCTGGATCAGGGGACGCACACTTGTTTGAACATGATCCAACTGCAGAACAACTTCGCCTAAAGGTGGTCACAGTTCCGTCCTTGCGAAATGTTTTTACGATAATGCAACGATCTTCGCCCGATGAACAGCTGACGACTGTGTTATTGCCAAGCCCAGATTTCGGTAACTGGCAGTGTTTGAGTGCGTCGGGGTTATCCTCGAGGGTACAACTATAGCATTGCAGTGAATAAACTGCAAACGATACAAAAACAACATTTATTTACTAGTTAATTTAATTCTTTAACTGGTTATTTTGTTGAATTGTTGAATTGAAAGGACTTTTAGAAAGTCCAGGAACCTGTTAGTTTGCTCAATTTCATTTCATTTCCGAGCTTTCCATTGGGAGAAACTAGCCGGATAACCATTACATTTGATTGACGTGTTACCACCTCTCAGCCAATCAGAAACTCCCGTACGCCTGGTTTTCGGACTATTCAAATTACCCAAGAATTAGGGCTGGCGGGATTTCAATTTGACTTGCTCCCAATCTTCACGCGGCTCTGGCCGCCAAAATACTACTGCACTCGCCTGCTAATCCCGCCAGCTACACAGGCTAGAGAACACCATTATCCGATTTGGCCTTCTTTTGACCTATCAAACCCTCAGAATGTGACCACGCGAGTTCACCTTTTTGGTTTGACAAACAAAGCCACGTAACCCGAGTCTTGAACGTCTGGCGCCGAAGTCAACTGTTACGCTTATCTCTGAATTCGCGGTCCACTTATTGTTTTGGTAGTACATACAGTGAAACCTCTATTAGGCGGACTTCTTCGGGACCTTCCTGGGTGTCCGCTTAATAGAGGTTGTAAAAGTTGCGCAATGTCTGTTAACGGTCAACATTCAACGGTTACCCTGTACTGTGACAAAGTTGCATGTTGTTAAAGAAGCTATCCAGAATATTCATTACCTTTCATTACCAACTTTAATTTGTTTGTAAATGCAAAAGTATTAACTGACTTCAGTCCGTATTTCAAGGACGTAATCCAATACTACTATTGTCAATTCAGTCCGGTGTCCGCTTAATAGAGGTTTTTAACGATAGAAATTAGCCAAATACTGTACACCTTATTTTAGTGTCCGCGTCCGCTTAATAGAGGTGTCGGCTGAATAGGGGTTCGTTATAAAGGAACATATCAGACGTTCGTTTCGGGACCAGGCTTAGTGTCCACTTAATAGAGGGTGTCCGCTTAATTGGGGTCCACTTAATAGAGGTTTCACTGTAGTTAGAAGAGGGTAACTATGGGGAGTATTATTGTCAAAAGCCGGCCCGTTGCACTCGTCTCCAACCGAGTGGTGGTGCCGGGCTCGAATCCCGCAGGGGATCGCTACAAAGGATTTAAGTTTGTTGTTGTTTCTCACCCATGATCCAAGCCAAGATCCAGACTTTTCCGGGCCTCGAGGAGAAAAGTCTGGATCCTCCGGTAAGACAACATCCATAAAAAATGAGCCAGGATTTCAAAACATGCAAGACCGTACGTCACCAGAGGAATTTTTTAATCGAGGATCTATCAGAAAAGAATTAACATAGAGCCATATGTTTTTAGCAACACAAGACTCCCCGGCTTTAACTTTTTCCGATTGCGACTATCTTCAGTGGTAACCTCTATTGGATAAGCTACCGCCTTTTTTTCTGGCGTTTTTCTGTTTCTCTCATAGTGAATGAAGTTTGCCTACCATGTCACTCTACTGTCGTTTGCTGTATCTATTATGGTAATATTTGTCGGATTTTTGCAGTCTTTGAATGGCTAATGAATTTCAAGGTTACCGGTAAACAGACGGACGAAACTTTTAGCTCCGTGTTTTAAGAGGTTTGACCAAGGTTTTCAAAGAGCAATTCACGTACCCGTTTCACTGTTCCACTCACTGTCCACTGACCCCTGTACAGAGTGAGTGCCCACATGACGCCTTCTATAGCTAGGCGAAAACTTTCCGCTTACGTTTTAGCCGTTCGGCACGTCCTTATAAAACGAGTTAACCATATCTTCTCTAAAACCACTAGATAACCAACTTACAGTACTTGTCTCAGTTGTACTGATTTGAGCCTATTAACTTATTAAATTTGAACCTTAAATCTTGTCGATTTATGTGACCTTCAGTTGAATTTCTATTTGTCTCAACCATTCTTCGCCCGCTCGCATTGATTTATTCGCGAAACATATCCGATTCTACGCAGATATTTCTGTACAAGTAAATTCAAGGCATTACCTGCTGTCACACATGAGAAGAATAACAGTACCTGTAGTCCGCTCAGTGATATATTGCCCATGAAGAATCTGAAGAATGCTACCGTGAACCGTAACGTCTTTGTAAATTAAGAGATGCCCGCAAGGACCCAAGCCAAAACAGAATCGAACAGAAATTGAATTGCAAATTAAAGCGATGACTAATGTTTGTTCGTGTTTTCGTATTTGTACAAATCTGGTGGTTTCTGTCAAGAAAAAAAATTCAAATTTGTAATAGCAATCTGATCATAAGACAGATATTATTGGTTTTTAATATTTTGACCGTCTTTGATGAAACCAAGATTATAAGCGAATTTATAATGGCTGCTTTTAAGAAACGTTGAGTGTGAATGTGTGAAGTGGTCCTTATCACCTCATCCTCTAAGCAATTTTCGAGATCAGTGTTTTTCTTTTATGTAGATTGTCTACAAAGGAAGATTCCAGATTAGCAATTCACAGCCAGTCAAGCTGATAATAGGTCATAATATAGTTTGAGACTAGCAGACCGCCCAAGACCTGGCACCAGTTGTTTAAAAGGTAGATAACGCTTCGCTGTCAACTGGACAAAGACAATCAGTCAGTGCAGTGGATCATGGGGTGGGCTTCCTCAGGGAGGGGTGAAACCTCCTTAGACCTGTATTATTCTTCATATCACTTACTCAGCCTCAGCTAATAATTGCTGAACATAAGACCACCATCGATGACATACCTCCGGTTTCACAGGATACGAGGAAATAATTCAATCAATATCACGCTATAATGATTATTAACTCGTAAATGATCCGTAAAACATCTTCTTTAATTTACTCTCTTACTGGCTGACCTGTTGTAGTTTGATCCCCTATATCAAACGCTGTCAGTTTTTATCATCTTACAGTAGCATGATTATTTTAAGAACTTCTGGCTCCAATTTTCCAAACGTTGAACATGTTCACGCTATGCACCGGATAAATCACTGTCCAACGAAAAATTCCGTCAACCTCACAGATCTGCATATCTTTCATATGAAAAGCCGAGTTTGTCCGGTATTTCTTGGTAGCTTTGTTCCAGATACATAGATCATCTTGAACCGTTTAGCGAAAAGCACACCCAAGTCCCATTCTCTTTGCGGCTTGGCCGCTCGCTGGCGCTATCAAAACCGCAAGTTACACAAGGGAACGTTAACTCACTTCTGCCACATGTGTATTGGGCCAAGCCTCAATGCACGCGACATGACGCTGTCATAGTGACATTGGCATCCCCGCGTTTTGGGCATCCCGATTCGCTAAACCCTGCATGGTGATATGGGCATCCCTAGTAACCCTAACCCTAATCCAAATCGCTAGAGTAATATGAGAAGGGGATGCCCATATCACTAGGGTTTTTGAATGGGGCTGCCCGAAACGTGGATGCCCATATCACTGTAACAGCGCTGCATGAAAACCCAAACGACTAGAGAGTTGGGACTTACTGATCAATGTCATAACATAACCCTTTCCTTTTGAGTTCAGAGTGATATTCAATGTTAAAAGTGCCGTTATATCTAAAAAAGTGACATACAGCCCAAAATTTTATTGTTGTTAAGCAAGAGATAACGAACTAGTTCACCCTTTCTTGTAGACTAAGAGCAGTCTCTCTTTTTTCTTGTTCCGTCGAGCAAAACGCCCGAGACACGCAAATGACCACGCGCGTGACTGAAGGCGCGAGACGGGACCTTCTTCTGCATCTCGACTCTCACTGAATGCTGTGTTGCAGGGAAAGGAAATGTTTACAATTAAGACTAAAAAAAATGCTAATATTTCAAAATATCAAACAAAAAAATGATTTTAATTCCGTTGAGTTTGTTTACAATTTCAATACTGGAACCAGAGAGCCTACGAGCGCTGACTTATTTCAGTTCCGGGTGTCGCTCGTCTCTTTCCGAAATGCCGGAGAAGCGGAACCTGAAATATGTCCGCGTTCGCAAGCTACAACACACACCACATAAGGGTAGGAATGTTTACAAGAAATCGCTATTGAATTGTTTCCATTTTTAACTGCTCTACTGTTAAATTAATTTTAACAGACGGCCATTAAGGTAAAACCATTGATCAAACTTATAGTTAAGAACTGTTTTTCTATCGCCAGCTGCGTTTCAGGTAGTCTTCCTCCCAGCCGTGTTTCTCTCGTCACGCAACGCTCCTGTTGACGAGACAAAAACGGCTGCGAGGGAGGAGACTGGATCAGACTGTTTTTCAGGAAATGACTCGGTGAGCCTTAGCTACCACCGTGGTCAAACGCCTAAATCGTTAGTTTTGTTTTTTATTGCTGGGATTTCATTTACCAGTTAGAGAAAAATGTTAGAGGTTAGAGGCAAAATGTATAAATCAGTTAGTCAACATAACTATCTTTCCATTTTTCTCAAAATTTTGAGCTTTTTTCGCTGAAAACGGTTTTCAATCACTTAGAACTTTTTTAGTAAACTTTTAAAAAGTTTAGTAAACTAACAGGATGTTGGTAATACCCTAAACTTTCGATAGTAAAGGTAGCAACCTTAACTTTGAAGTATTTCGCTTAACTTTTGCAAATTTCACTCGTTTGACCGCTGTGAACCACCGAGAGCTAGTGTGCGGATTTGGTATTCTTTATATTTTTTACGCACGCTCTTAAGAAAGCAACAATTTATGGCACATTCTTTTAAGCTGTATTACAAATTGACAAAAACGAACAGAATAAGAAAACCAAGGCGCAAGCTTTGGTACAATTCTTTACAAGTACATCAATCAGTCTTAATCCTATAATTGTAAGTCGTTCTTCGATTGAAGCCCGCTAGTCAATCAGTCTTAATTCTCTGACTCGTCATGCGATAAATAATGCTGTCACGACCGGGATCCAGGTACCACATGACCAGACTAATGACGTAAAGAGCCAGGGCTAACACCACCAAAAGCCACAGACAGATGTTGAATATTACGGGATAGTCTGCCGAGTAAACTGGTGCCAGGTTGACCTTGCTCAAGTCGACACTACTGTTTGCAGTCTTGAGATAAAAAAATAAAAAAGTAAATATTATTATAATAAATAAAGAAATACCGTAAAATTCCGAAAGTAAGCCCCGGGGCTTATATTTTTCAAAGGCCCTTTTTGAGGGGCTTATAGTCGGAGTGGCTTATGTACGGAGGGAAATTTGCGTTTCAAAATCGATTGGGCTAGCTTGTAGTGGGAAGGAAATTTACTATTTTTGCTTTGTCTTACTTTGTATTCGAGGGAGAATTCCAAGTACAAGCAACTCGGGGGGCTTATATTCGGAGGGGCGATTTAACGGAGGGTTTTTTGCGTTACGATTTTGGGAGGCTTATATTTGGAAGGGCTTATACATGGAGGGGCTTATTTTCGGAATTTTACGGTAAATATATAAAAAAGAACTAGAAGACTCTCAATATGAACGCGAGTGCTGAGGTTTAATTATGAGAAATAAAAGAGCACATGACTTTATCCATTCGCCATTTTCACATAGACCATAATGCACCTTGTTTACCTCCCAAAATTTTGCACAACTATTCTTAACAATTTACTCCTGGGTGTTACAGTCGTCCCAAGAGAAATCAAAGACGGTGGTTATGCCAAATTTTGTGGGGCAAACAACCTGCATTGTGGTCTTCGTGAAAATGGTGAATAGTGCATTTGTCGCTCGGTAAGTTGAGACAATCAACTATCACAAGCCCCTCTCATGTTTTAAAGGCAAGACCCAGGGGAGAAGGTTGAAAAAGATCACCTCAAGCGTTCGTTTTAGAAGGGTGACCGCCACCCAACCCTCCTCTAACCCAACATTTGTCTTAGGTGAGAAGTAAATTGTAAATTGTAAATTGTAAATATCTTATTATCCACTCCCCACAGGGCTTTTCAGGAATAATTTACAACACTGGTTGGGGGACTTTGCCAGACTGCTTAAGGTGCAGTTTACAAGTACTGAAGGAATGAGTGATGATGCCCCCATACATAAGTGTGAAAGTGAGATAGACCACTACACCGGGCACTACGTGCCCTACTCTTTACGAAGAGTGTGTGGGTTCTTTAACGTCCCACAGATTTATTACATGTGCAAGGGCTTGTGAGACGGGGCCTACGGTTTATCGTCCTTATC